CCCCCCCTCCCCAGCCATCATCCCCTGGTGTCTGACATGCACACAGCAATACGAGAGAGAAAAGTTTAAGAATAGGGAAAATAAATAAATAAATAAAGCAAAAAAATTAAAATAAATCCCTCCCATTTGGGGGAATGGGGAAACGGGGCAGAAGTCAAAGGTCTTTGCCCCAGTTGTGTCTTTAAAAATTCTTTTTAATCTTCAAACCTATGTACAAGTAAAACTGGTCCAAGAAGGGGAAAAATGATTAAAAAAACCAACAACGACAACAACAACAAAAAAGAACTCATCCAACATTATCATTAAAAAAAATAATCTTGCGATACAACATACACCCATAGGAACCCAACGAGCAGCAATCGAAGGTCATAAAAGAGCTGAACACTAATGCTAAGCCTACATTCTTAAAATCTCAGTCAAGAAGTACTTCTCACTGTGTTTTGTCTTCCACGCGTAAAACCACGTTTTTTTGTTTGTTTAACCTTTGAGCTTGGGCCAGAATAAGTTACACTTGGTCACATAAATCTTGAGGAGGAGGAAAAAAGGCAGCAATTCTTCTTTCTCAAAGTCACAAAATGAACACTTACAGGGTTTCTGTGTCTTTTTTCCCCCTCCTCCCCAAAATAAATAAGAATCAATGTTGCCTCTACACAGTTATTAAACAGAAGATATATCTAACAGCTTATTTTTTTAAATATATATATATGTATATATAAATAACCAAGACCTAATAACTGAAACACAAAAAAAGGTCCCCATCCACCCAATCCCACCCTCCTCCCCTTCCAAAAAAAAACAAAACCAAAACCAAAACTTTATAAAAATATCTTGCAGTAAATTTTAAAGTTTACAGTAGCTTCGTGATTAAGTCTCCCATTGCCCTGACTCCACCTTGTCTTGCTCTGATGAACTAAGTGCCAGTGATTTTGCACACACACACACACAGGAAAGAAAACCCAATATAAGTCTCTTTTCTTCCTCCTCTTCATCTTCTTTTTTTTTCTTTTTTTTTTTCTTTTTTCCTTTTTTTTTTAAGAAAAAAATCACCCAAGCCAACAAATGAAACTGGTAACTTAAAGAAATAATACTGATATCAATGCAGCACTAGCAACACAACAATTGCCTCTAAATGCAGGGTGTGGTGGAGGATCCAGCTGGTCGAAGAAGGTCCCAGCACGGTGGCACAGTGGCAGGGAGTTGACAGGTGGGGAGGAAGGTGTCGAAGGAGGAGCAGCAGTAGCAGCAGCGGCAACTGTGCCTGGTGACGGGAGAGACAGTCCTTGGCAGAGTCTTGTCCCTCTTCTTTGCTACCAGAAGTTGCCTTTTCCCTAAGTTTTAATGTTTTGTTTGTATTTGTTTATTCATTGAACCCCCTCTCCCTCCTAAGTTTACTCCTTTCCCCTTCCAGCAGGTTAAAAAACAAAATGATACAGTGTAAAAAAACCAATTATTTCATATATATATGTATGTACGTATGTATATATAAATATACACACATATATACATGCATATATAAAAAAAGGGGGCAAAAGAAAAGGAAAAGGTGGTGGGGAGAAAAAAAAAAAGTAAGAAAATCCCATGATGAAGCTCCCCAATATTGTCTTGGTTCAACGCTTAGGTTTGAGTTGCTCCTGGCTGGTTTCTGATGAGAACGCGCTCTGGATTCATGGAACACTGCGCTCCCGCTACACCCGTCTCCTTCCCCACACCCTCCCTCTCCGGGCTGCGTTCACCTGCGCGGACAGAAGTTGCCAAGGGTAAAGATTTCACTCCAGCAATTTGCAACCTCCTTTGAGCCCAGACTCTGCAATCCCACAACTGAGCAGGTCTCTCTTGTGGAGCACCAAAAAAGAAAAAGAGAGGGGGAAAAAAAAAACAGGCGTGCACTGGGGAGGTGTTTGGGGAGAAGTGGGGGAGAAGCCCACTTCCTGAAGGGAGAGGGGAGGCTGGGAACCTCAAACAGGACTGGTCCTTGGACAGTCTACATCGGTTGCCTTCCGTCAACAAGTGTCCGCAGAGCACAGAAGGTGAAGCCGTGGCTGACATGTTAACTTTTCGGGATAATTCCTGGTAGCAGAGCGGAAACAAGTGGTGTCGTCAGAAACACAGAGAGAGCATGAACAGAACAAGAAACAAAACAAAAGAAAACGAAAAAAAATAATAAAAAACCCAAAAAATCAGGAAGGAGAAAAAAAGCAAAACATTCAAAAAAAGGGAGGAAAAAAAAGCAATCGAAAAAAACCACAACCCAAGATCTGGTGAACTGGGTTTGTCATCTGTGCTACCTTTTCTTTTCTTTCTTTTCTTTTCATTCTTTCATTCGTTTGTTTTTGTGTTTGTTTCTGAGATATATATTATATATCATATATAAATATATATATGTATATATATACAGTCATTCCTTCATACAAAATTTGTCTATAGACAGTTTTGTACTGTTGTGGCAAGGTATATACATCCTTCTAGTTTAGAGGCTAGCTTGCTAAGGAATATTCTTTCATTCTTTCTTGCTTTTTTCTTTTTGTTTTGTTTTGTTTTTGTTTTTGTTTTTCCTAAGTTATTTAATTTTTTATGTGTTTATTTAAGGTTGGTCTTGTAGGCCGACTGATGAGACCATCTTTGCCTTGTCTTTGCCAGCAGGGTACTTATTGTCTCCTCTAGACCCATAGTCATTAGAACCGGAATCGCTCCGCTTGCTGTTTGCGCTATGCTTGGTTGGCGTGCCGGGGGGATGGCTCACCTGCCCGTTCTTCTCGTCTGAAAAAAGTTGTTTAATTACGTCAAAGAAGTTACTCAATGGGCTGCCTGGGTACACAAAACAGAGGAGACAAAAAAAGAAAGAAAGAAAGAAAGAAGGAAAAAAAAAAAAACGAGAGGGAAAGAGAGAGAAAAAGAGGAGAGAAAGAGAGAGAACAAACAAACAAATGAACAATGGGGTTTTTAACGAGAAGAACATGATGAGGAGATCCAGAGCCACGTGCGTGGGGGTGTGTGGGGGATGAAGACAATGAGGAGGAAGAGGAAGAGTGTTTAGGATGGGATACCTACAGAAATAAAGAGGCTGGGAGCATAAAGCACCTAAGGGAAAGGTCCTAGTTTTTTCCTGAGTGGGGAAGCATTGCTGTCTCACCTAGCAGGAGGACACAGTACTGTGTGACTGAAATAGTTCAGTCCATTACTTGAAGTCACTTAGCCATTTCACATGGAAATATCCATGAATGTGATGCTGGATATAGGCAAATCCCATCTTACTGCTGCTGTTACAAACACGGGGTATTTGCCCACCAAGTGATGCTTTGCTTTGCAGCCTTGCTAAGCTCTCTGGCTACACCAGCCATTAGGCTTTCCTTGCTTGCATTTTATTTTCTTCTGAGTATCTCCTTGCCAGCCTGCCATCACTAAGCCTGAAGCACCTGAGTGGTCCAAGGGAAACAGCATTTGAAAAATGAGCTATGGCTGAGATGAGTGTTGCCATCTGCATGCGTGGCCTGTGGTTTGTACTTGCAGGCTTCTAAGCACCTTCAGATCTCCCTACAAAGGTATCTGGAAATGAAGATGCTGAATGCATTGTGAAAGCAGGCTGTTATGCATCTAACTATTTCTGGGACCTAGCAGAGTCAATAACTATTACCTCATTGTCCTGAATTTCTGTTCTCTCTACAACACAGCCTCCATGGCACTGACATGCACTGCAGTGGAGTTAGGAGTCGGAGAGGGGTTTAGGGTTGTGTGCTAAGTAAAACAGGTATCTCCTTAAGCCAGCCTCTAGATCAGGTTGCAGTATTAACAAGGGTTGGGCACTGTGCAAATGAATACAACCTTTCATACCATTTGGACCTCCAGGCAACAGGGTTATGTGCTATTAATTTAGTTCTGTGTCAGAGGATGTGTGGAACGCCACACCCGAGGAAAAGCTTTGGGGTGCTACCGAGGGAAAAGGGACCAGTTACTACTGGAAAGGTAGCCTTTCAGGGAATTTCTAGTCCCTTTTAATTTTCTTGAGCTGGGGGATTAATCCTTATCAAACATAGGAATGCTCACACTAAACTCTTCGAACATGGATATTGAAGGTGTTTTTTAATCTAATGTACACCATGGAGGTTCTGTCTCTTTGTGATCATTAAAATCCCATGATGGTTTTCTCAATATTGGGACTGTTGGCTCTACTGTTCAGTCAAATTCAAATAATTTACATCTCCAGCTCCTGCAGGGAAATAGGCTCCTTGTATCTGCCTTCCAAGGTGGTGGCATGTTGTGAAGAGTGGAATCTTTCATCCCCTGCAATGGGAACATTCGGTCAGGAGCAAAGGGCTTCTTCATAGCAGAGATTGCCATGTATCCATAGTTGGTGGACAGAGGTGGCTTGGTAATATTGTATTTCCCTTCACTCTCATTACAAACATAAGCAATCCATTAACAACAGCAGGTTGTTAATGCACTTTCTGTGCATGGTAATTGGTCTGAAGAACTCGCTGAATGCTTTCTGATTCTCTAATGGAAAATGCTAGACAGACATCAACTGCTCTTAGACAAAGAAAGAGGAAATACATAGTATTTGTGCTCTGCAAAACTGAATGGGTTACTCTTTTTTTCCTGCCCCGTGCTAACCAGGTAGTTGCTGCTTTCCTCTGTATGTTAACAGGCATTGAGAAAAATCAAATGGCTGGCATATTCAGTGAAGGATCTTAATCTTATTAATCTAATTCATCCCTTCCCTTTTTCTACTTGCTGCTTTGTGACCAACTTTCTGCTTGCCCTGGTTCTGTCTGTCATTCAGCTACACCAGCGTCACAAGCTGTGAGTTTCTGAAAGGGGATCATTCACCCAACTGAGTGAAGCCTTAGTGGTGGGCGCAAACAAACAGCCAGGCACAGCACATATCTCAATTCCTGGCTAAGAGGAGAAGGGCTATCAAACTCTCAGTCACTTTGGGGTCAGACCTCCATGACCTCCACCTCCTTCTGTCCACATGCATACAAATGCTTTGGAAAGGGGATATCTGTTCCACACCTATGACTTCTATTTCAGAGATTTCTCTAGCCTCCCTAAAACTGTTATAGGTTTGTGGGCTTATGCTCTGCGCAGACTCACTTCTATCTCCTCAGATTAATTTCTACTTCTCTTAGGTGGATACCACTTTTCAATTAAAAGAAATAAAGAAAGCAAACACTCAGCCTTGAATGCAGGAATGTGGGCAGATCTGGTTTTTAGGTGGCTTTGGACCCCTCATCCTCATAAGCAAATGGAGTCAGCAGAGAGAATGAAAAAGAGCACTGAAAAAAATGCTGGAGAGGAAAAGACTGCTAGGTTGGGAGAAAAGAGTAGGGCAATATCTAGTTATTCATCTGAGCAGTTTATTCAACATGCTTAGAGGGAAAGATGAGGGCAGAGTAAGCAGGGCTCTGCAGGAATTGGGGAAGTCTTTTGTTTCCATGTAGACAGGAACAGTGACAAAGTACAACTAGCAAGAATGGAGCAATAATACACTTTAGAAATTATATATCTTGTATTTGCTGAGTCCTGATACAGGATTTTCAGTCGTCCTACTAAAATATGCAGTCCCTGTTTCATCCACCCTTTCTCCTCCCCAGCTTTCAAGTGTCTGGAGATTTACTGCAGCAAAAGTATTTAACAGTCTGCTTTTCTCTGCCTATATCACTACTGAATTCCTTACAATCAGCATTTTCAGTTAAAATTTTAATGGGAGGTAAGAAATCCTTAGGGATGTTTAAAGAGAGCTACTGAAAAATAAAATAGGCCATTTCACTAACCCTTTCTTTCCTTTGCCCTTTGTACTTGTAGGTAATAATGTTCTCTCTGGTAGTCAAGAAAGAACTGATCCTACACCAAGCAATACAGACAATCACTGCATTGATGTCTATGTGACAGGTTATTAGCCTGCTCTTGGGCTAGTCAACACATTTTTCTCTGGAGATATATAAGTAGAGGTCAGCTATCCTGGAAGCATGAAAATGGTGTGTGGTGTCCCTCCTCTTAGTTCTCAATTCCGTTTGGGATTATACACCCAGTAAAACAAGACTTGAAAACGCAGGTGATGATGGTTTAGAATAGCTTTTTCAGCAATCTTCCACTCCTAACATTCAGTGCAAAATGTGTCATAGGCCCCTACACCAGTAAGTCCATCTAGGGCCTCAAAAAGGCTGCCTTTCTTATTTCAGAAAGTGAGATGATATCCCATTTCCTCGGGACAGGGATGGAGGTTTGGCTCACTGATTCTTTAGAACATCCCTGGTGTTTCATGCATCTGTAACTAAGGTCTTCTTTCCCCTTGAGAGCAAATGTTCATCAACACAGAGCAAAGAAGGCGTGAAGGGTAGCAAGGGTGAGAAACCATGAGAAGGATCAGAGGCAGGAGGGGAGGTTCAGAGCATTAGGTTTATGTCTATTAGGAGATGGATATGCGCATTTTTGAGTTAGACCACGGAGCTGTACGCTGCAAGATGGGGAAGGCGGATGGGTTTGAAAACAAGCACTGAAGCTTATGAAAAGGTCATGTATTGAAGGGAATATATTTAGAGAAATATATTTATGGAGAAGGCACTCGTTTGTGGCATCTGTGTGCAGCACTGTAACGGCCAAGTATCACGAAAGAAGTCAAAACTGTGAATGCAATTGAATACAATAAGCGCTAAAAGGAAGAAACAGAGCTAGAGACAGACACAAAAATGTAAAAGGAAGCTGGGCAGGTGTTTAGTATCAACCTTCACAGTCCTCAGTATCTCATTTGCTATTCTTAGGAAGTCTGTCTGACATTGACATAGCCCCAATGGTGTCACCAGCTTGAGAAGCCAAGTTAGAAGCAGAGCACCCAGGTAGGAGAGGAAAGAGAAAATGAGGTGAATCATCAGGCACCAGAAGTGACACCAGAAAAGGATGCACCTTGCAAAAGACCCTGCTCTGGCCTTATAAAGATCCTCAGTCCTCCACAGAACATAACAGGACATGGTGAACAAGCAGCTTCAGGACAAGCCTGGAGGCTTCAGTTACTGATTAGAGCCCCAGTTACTGATTAGAGCCTGCTGTTTTGTAACATTTTAAGACAGTCAGATAACAGATATTTGCTGTTTTCATTGCAGCAAATAGCAACATTCCCACTGACTTAACGGAAGCAAACCCTGAGGCACTTCCCTCTCCTGTGAAACCATCACTCTCAAGTCTATGTATTTTTAATGCACTAATCCTTGTGGTGCTGAACACAAAGTTGCACAAAACAAATATGCCATCTGTGGGATTATCCTCTGCCTTTCCTTTCTGTATAGCCTGAGAAATTTTGGGGGTTTGCATATTTAGTTTGGGCTTTGGGAGAAAGTAAATCGGAAAACATAGGTCTCCACTGGAAACAGAGACACCTTTTGTAAACCTGACCTCCCTTATTCCTTCCCTTGTTGCTTTCACATCCTTCCTGTCTTCTGCCTGCCTCTGCTACTGAGGTTTTCTTCCTATATTCATTCCTTACTCTTTATCCCTTGTCTTTTCATCCCTAGGTTGCTCTGTGTTTTGATTGCAGCTGTGGTGAATCACATAACAAAAATTTTACTCCTTTGCTTTCACATAAAGCATTAAAACACTCTCTTAATGGGTGATAATCCATTCCCTTTCAAACCCATTTTGCTGCTTTGACAGAGTACTAGCCCTCTTTGTTAACACTAGACATTTTTTTCCTTTTTGCTTGGTTTCTGTTGACAGAGTCCCTCCTGCCCTCAAAAACAAATGACTTAAAATATAGAACCCACTCCAAAAGTATAAGCAGTGAAAGGGATGACAGAAAGATAAAGTGGCCTGTT